ATCTTATCTTATCTTATCTTATCTGGCACCTTCATTAATATCACACTCAACTGACTGTGCTTTATCTTTCCATTGCACTGATGGGTGGACAGTTCTCAGCTGCCTGTGCAGGTTGTTTGTGGAGCTGGCTCTATATGATATCCTTTTCTTGCAGACTCTACACTCTGCCTTTGTATTGTCAATAAAATTGAAATGGTTCTAGATTTTGCTTCTGTCACGGAGTAGAGTGAGCCGTGTGGAAATATTAAAGGAGGATCCAGTCGCAGGCACTCGTGAAGGTGAGGTGGTTTATTGAACACAAAACGCAAATGGAGAAACAGCAAATGGGATGGGAAACTATCCAAACTGGGAACAACTAAACTACTGAACATAAACCAGGACCTGAACATGAAGGAGGATGAGCAGACACAGATGGCGGTTGACAGCAGGGTGGATACACAGACGGACCAGAAACTACAAAGACAGAAGACGCGACTTAAATACACACAGGGAAACACAGGGAGATTACAAACAGGTAGGGAACACAGCTGGGAGTTATCAACAAGACGAGACAGAGGTAAAACTGAACACGCTCACATGAGACGCAGACCTTCACAATAAAACAGGAAACAAGAACACTACACAAAGACGCAGACTCGACACTGAGAGACAGACAGAAAATGACACATGGAACTAAACCCACACAAAACATGAGAACACAAATCCTAAACACAAATAAACAGAAACATAGAACTCTAATAATCATCATCATCATAATAATAATAATACTCATAGCACCCAAAACCACAACAATCATTCAAAAATAAACTAACAATCAAAACTCAAAATACTGGGTCGAAACTGGGTCGTGACAGCTTCTTTTCTTGGTGTCACTCATTTTTATTACTATACCTTTCAAATATGATGATGTTGTCTCTTGCTGTTGCCCCTGGCTCTCTTTCTCTCCCTTTCCCTCCTGCTCTGTTCCTGTGCTACTGTGAGTGTAACTACAACCTAGTGATTTGCAAATCATGAACGAATCGTTCAATACTTTCTGATTCACAAGCCCAACTGACTCACTGACTCATCCCTGCTGCTGTTAGCAAACTATTTCATTATTAGAAATATATCTAGCTTAAAATTAAAATTGTGGAGAAAAACACAACATCCAGTATATTAACAGAAACATTTCTGCTCTTAACTGGAAGAAAAAAACCCTGAGTAGAAGCTCACATCAAGACAATAGCTCCTCAGTTCAGAGTAGCGTCGCTCTGCTAACATGCTAACAGCACATTTGAGCTACTCACCCCCTCCCTTCCTGTGCTGAATCGCAGCACGAACTAATCACTCAGAACTCACTAACCCCCTCCCTTCCTGTGCTGAATCATAGCGCCAAAGAATCACTCAGGACTCACTAACCCCCTCCCTTCCTGTGCTGAATCATAGCGCCAAAGAATCACTCAGGACTCA